CTAACATTCGATATCGGGCAATGCTAACACGAAACTCAACCAGCAGGAAATCACCGGAATTCTAACCACACGAACAAGCTTTTATTCAGTTCTTCTGTGAGCACCGCACGCGAAATGAAATCAAGACACCAACGATCGCAAAACAGAAGACGAGGAGGATAGAGCTTATACTTGTAGCGCTCCCAGTAGCGGCTACGGGGCGGCCAAATGGGCTGGTCGTCGTCCTCGGGAGGCTCCGGCGGCCGCCGCGGGGGAGGAGACCGGGCGAAATGCAGGGGAGACGACTGTTCGAGGCGGCGTGCCTCGCAGGCGGCGTCGAGCCGCCGGAAGAGCTCAACTCGGCGGGGGTCGCGTCGAGCCGTGGCGTCGGGCTGCTCGCTGGCGGACGCCGCCGCGCCCGCCTCGGCTATCACGACGCGCGCGTCGGGCGTTAAAGGAGGGAGAAACCGACCGGCCTTCTCTGTCTCTCTTCTTACACTTGCAACTGTGTGCGGCGCTGACTAGTTGTTGACTGAGAAATTTTGGAGAATTTGGTGAATTTCTACTGAATTTATAGATGGGCGGTGGTGTTGGTTTTAGACCTAGTACGGCTAGGATCTGGAATGTGGCCACCTACCCTAAAAAATATTCATAATTTCCTTTTGTTGAATCCAAATTCCAAATGGCCCATTTAACAAAGCTTTATTTGTAGAATAGTGCATGCATTTATATTTTATCAAAAAGTTGTGAAGGAAAAATGACATGGGAGGTGTGAATATGTGATTGCAAAACTTTACCCTAGTCATCAAACAAGGGCGCGAACTAGGGCACCATGGCGCGAAATACGGAAAGCAAACTACTAGAGGTCATGAAATGTGGTGCTTACACATGTAGATCTGTTGGTTCTTAGTTTTATTTAAACCTCTAAACAAATTAACGGTCTTTGGCGCGAAAGAATAATGTTGGTTAGCTATTAGCGACTTAACGTTGGTTAGCAATTAATAGAATATTAATGGTCTTTGGCGCGAAAAACATCTAAAACTAAAGACGTACACAGCAAGTATTTACATGGACCGTGTGACCGTGTGCCGCTTTTGTTTCTAATAACTCGCACACACGGGCAGATCAAGCATTTATATGGACCACCAACTTTCTACGTTTGTTTCTAATAAAGCCATAGATATCAAGAGTATCAATATCATATCAAGAGAAATTTTCAACATATCTCGGAATTAATTTCCACATACATGACCACACTGGTTACTTGAGAAATCTCACTATTGATTTTTCACAAGCCAACGGCAGCATTTTTTTATTAAAAAAAGGAAAAATGACCCAACGGTAGCTTAGCCACCAACCGTCCAACAGAGTCGTAGGCTCGCAGCCAAAAGAAGCAAACATTTATCTCGTTGCCTCAAACGCTATGGTTGATGGACTGGCGGCATGCACAAGAAGCATGTTCTGGCGACAGCATATATTAGTTTGTTTGAAAAAAAAATCTTTTTACTGTTGCAAAAAATTCTTTAGATTTTGTTTTTTTAGATAATCCTAGTCTCTAGATTGAGAATTGCGCGTGGCCACACTAAAAAAATGATGTCTGACTAATTCTTTTAGAAAGGTGATGAGTAGTAGAAACATGAAAATATTAATCATTGTATTTTGATGTATGCAACTTTGCTAAATACCCCATCTAGCTGTAAGAGTTGTGGGAGAAAAATGCACAAGGATTTTTTTTTTGTGAATTAAAATGCACAAGGATTATGCATGAGGATTTTAGAACTTTACCTAACCAAAAAAAAGGAGAGCACAAGCTAGGGCAATATATTAAAAGGGTCAACAACACATCTCGTTGAGAAGAAAAGGGGGAAAAACCCACTATAAATTCCGAACCACCAAGTACTACGCTAGTTACTAGAGAAAACATTGCAGTCTTATGACAGTGTGACCAGAAATCACAAGATAAGTCTATTATAATGTGTCCCATGTGGAAATGATAGGGATTTTTGGAGAAATTAATGCAAAAAATAGAACTGTCTGTGTGAGAATTATGAAAATAATTTCATAAAAAAGTTGTGAAAATGAAAATTATACACAAATATATAAGTAAACAGAGGAAGGGAGAGATAAGAAACGGAAGGTCTTAAGTTAGGGGAATAGCAATTATTAGCCAACCAACGTAGCCGCAGCCAGAAGAGGCAAACATTTATCTCGTTGCCTCGAAACACCATGTGCTCAATAAGCATTTTTCTGGCGATAACAATCAAAGTTGGCCATATATCAATCGTCAAAAAAATAGCTGGCTATATATTGGCGAACAGTTGTGCCCAAGAGCCAGGATATCTATCTATAATTCATTTGAAAAAAAAAATCCTCTTAATAATTGAGTAGCCACGTTAATTTGGCAAGACTACGTAATGTGCTATTTCTATTTTTCCTAAGCTAAAGTACGTTGCAGAGGTGTTGCAGCGACTCCAACGCTCCAGCAAGTATGCATGGCTGTGTTCGGCTGGTACACTTCAGCTTATTTCAGCTTGTTTCAGTTTATTCTCTCTCGTAGAATACTATTTAATCATCCAAAACTCTCGTGAAAGAGAGAAGCAAAAAAGCCGTGGCTTGCATGACGCCAATAGTTCCTGTATGTAGAGGGAGTTATTGTCTTAGGAGGGAGACTGAGAGAGATGTTGAGATAAAGCTGATATTTTTGGATGTTTTTTCTTTCTTTTTTCTTGTGCACAACAGTCCCTGTCATGCATTATAGCGTTGGTACTTCAATAGAGGTTTAGGAGTATTAGACATCTTCTATCACATGAGACCACCAATACTGTATGCTTTTGCGTTGAGCATGCTCGATCTAATACGGTGCCTATGCAAGCTGTAACCGTTTTCTTCGCATCAGCAAAGCAGTTTGCAGTGCCATATTGGTCGTTCAGTACAGGTAATTAGTTTGTCTTTTGTGTTCCATGGAGAGAACTAAAAATTGGTAGGTGTGTGGACAGGGCTGAATGAAGACCAATTAAAGCTTGTTAGGCTTAATCCGAGAGGATTAAAGGGCATTGAGGGGATTTTAGTTTTTTTTGGATAAAACCCATAAATCTGGAGAGGTTTGGCCTAAAGATTACGGGGCAGTACTCTCTAAAACCCGCCACCATGTCTTCCTAGCAAAGACACACCCAGCTAGCAGGTGATCAACTGTTTCACGTGGTCGTGCGTATGGAGCCTGTTGGACATCTAGCAGCGACCAAGCAAGACCAACTAAATAAAAAAAAAACAACATTTGTCTCAAGCCTTTGATTTCTAGAGTGTCTTTGCACATGACACACTAGGGCTAAAGAAGAGCACCTTATAGGCCCATGCTAATAAGGAGTGGCGTGACCATCTCTAGATGATGTCATTTTCAATTGTTGTTAGGGCAACTTCACGGAGACGATGCCAGAGCTATAGGTACGGTAACATTCCCTAAACTAATAGCGACCACAAATATCCCCTACGTCCTCTTAGAGAAGGCTTGACACACTATGCGGTTCCGCTGAATCAAGACATGTAGCGGGAATATGCTAGATACCAATAGTTATTAATGACTTTAAAATGAGAAATCACAACACACGCACAAATAGTACCATCACACATAGGTCATCCAAAGTGACGCCTATAATAGAACATGGCTATAGTCATTGCCACAACTTGTGTAGAGCAGGGCTAGGTTTTCACCCGGATATCCAGTGGTTTGGTAAGGATGGAATGCAATGACCGTTGCCTCCGGTCCAAGAAGGGTAACAACACTAAAAAACGTTGTCAACGTCGAGACTGACATAGAAAGTAGCGTTTTCGTCAGCGCACACCAACTTACCGTAACATAAGCTCATAGGGTCGATCAAAGTGTCCCATACCACGCCATCGCTACACACGGGGACATAGCACCTAAAGCTTGAATCTGACGGTGGTGTCCTGTACATACCACTTACTGAATGCTAAGGCCGACGCCTGTTGTTGTACATGTTATGCGCATTCGGGTTACGAGACTGCGCCCATGACAAGGTCACAAGACAACCACAATTGCCTTGTCATCCAAAGTGACGCCTATAATAGAACATGGCTATAGTCATTGCCACAACTTGTGTAGAGCTTGGCTGATTTCAGTCATATCCGAAATGCAATACCGTTATTGAAGGGTAACGATTGGTTGTAGAAAGAAAAATACCGTTAAGCTCATAGGGTTGGTGTGAAAAACATAGTATAGCTTATAAACCCAGCGAAACGGGGCGAATATTGACACAGGCCGTGCGCGTTCGGAACGAGCACGCGGGAGAAGGTGCCGGCGACCACCCAAGCAACAAAAGCTAACCGCGCCACCGCGGCCATGAGAAGGGAAGTACCGCCACCAATCTGACCATCAAGAACCGTACCGTTCACAAGACCCAGACGAATCCCCACGTAGCGCCTATGCGGATTTGGTCGAATACTATACCGATTTGTCACTGGAGCAAGAAGAGAGAGAAATAGAATGGATAGAAAAGAAAAGGCCAGGATAGGGAGGAGGATGGCTCGGCTCTACCGTGTTGGATTTTCCTACAACATACTCAGGCGATGGCAAGTCGTAGGTTAGGCCTCGCTTCGCTCGGCTGCACTTGTTCCAGGATTGTCGCCGCAGTGCTGCTTCTGCACCACTTCTTCTTACTCTGGTCTGTAGTATTTTGCAACAGCATACTCTTCAGAATGCAGAAATTTGACACAATTGCAATAATTTTACAAGAATCGGTTTAATTTCACTGGAAATACACAGGATTTAGGAAAAAAAAATCCCACAGGGCAGCAGGGACAAATAGAAACAGAAACAGAGCAGTAGAGTAGTGCCCAGCAGAGAAGATCATGCAGCCTGTTCGGGAGGCCGTATCGTATCGTGGATTATTTACTGCTGGCTGGTTTGGTGTGAGAGAAAAACACTGTTCCCGGACTGGAAATTTACGATCGTTTACGAGCAAGCGAACAGGCTGATGATTAGTGCTAGCGTCATTCAGGCATCGTCATTGGTGGCTTTGACTTGAGTTGAGCCCAGTAGTAACATGATCATCATCATCAACACTGCCCCAGAGCACTGAATTGTCAAAACCACCCGTGCGATTCTGAACGGGAAAGACCATCCACCCCCTGAATCATCACATACTACAACCGGCCATGGCGAGAAGGCTTCCCATGCCATCGGCGATGGCGCCCGGTCCCATTCCCGGCTGGAATCACTCGACACGTGTCTGCTCTACAACTCGAACTCGTGTCTACTGCCGCTACGGCAACACACACCACACGCCGCTCACCACGACCACATCACCGGGCTCGCCTGCGCCACCGCCGGCGCCGCCCAGCAGTGCTGCGGCCACCGGTACACCAACCCCTCGCCAGCGGCGGTGCCGTACGCCTGCAGTGGCCTGGCCCTGGCCGGTCCATGTCCAGGGGCGGCCTTCCTGCCCCTCGACATCCATCGCAGCCGCGCCGTCCTCGCCATCCGACGCTTCCTCAGTGGCGACCTCCTCCTCCTCCGGCGTCGGCGCCACCCACGGCACGACGGCCAGGGCGAGGTCGGACTCGGAGCCCCGTTCCAGCGCGGCGCCGGCGAGCAGCTCTCGCGCCGTCCTGCTGTCCGCCTCCCGGAGCATGGCGCGGATCCAGTCCGCGCGGAGGCGCGGGGCGTCGATCCGCCTGCTGCTGCCGTCTCCGTCACCGTACACCACCACCGCCCTCTCGTCGTCGTCGCCAAAGGCGCCAGGCGAAGGAGACGGCGCTGCCGCCGCGTCGCCCATCGCAACGTCATCCTCCCACGCCGTCGTCACGGCGCCGTCCATGTCCCCGTCACGAGGGCCGTCGGGACGCGCGAGGCGCCGCATCTTGGTGGCGCGGCAGGAGAGCGAGAACACGGATGACCGGTCGCCGGCGTCGTCGAAGAGGTCCGGCTCGAGGGCGCCCTTCCGCTTCAGCGACAGGCCGTGGAACTCCTCCGTGAGCACCACCATCGCCGCCGCCGTCACACTCGCACAGCTGCCTGGGTCTGTCGCCGTTCGCAGCACTCCTCCTCTGCTCTCCGATTGCTTCGCTTCTCGTGGTTTCTGGCGTGCTCCAGATCGCTGTGGTGGGCGTGCAATGGATGGCGGGAGATATATATGAGCTCCGGTGTGGGGGAGCTGAGTGGACAAGTGGGTAGGAGCGCCAAGTGTGGAGAAGCTTCGATTGGAGCTCTGGAAGAGTCTCGAAGCCCAAATTTCCCGGACGTGGACACCGGACAGCGACAGCGTGTCCACTAATCCACTGTCTCCCCTCAAAGTACGTAAATACCTCTCACGTGGACCACACCATGTTTTTTTTTTGAAACTTCCCCGCTCAGATCTTTTTACTCGTTATTAACACGAGGTTGAGCAGAACCGCGAACCACCAGATCGATTACAGAGGGGATCAAGCCATATATATGGTTGATTCGGGTCCCAACCAAGGCTCAGCGGCCTGGTCGTTTCGTCGTATTTGGCTTATAAGCCATAGAAGCTATGACTTATCAGCCAACGAACAGTATTTTTCTCTCACACCAAACCAGTCAACAGTACTTTCAGCCATGGTTTATTAGCCAAATAAGCCCAAACAAACAGGGCGCAGATGAGCTAGTTAATGAGCACAATTATTACATGATCTAGAAACATGAGAAACTTGCACCGAATAAAAAAACAAACGAATTAAATCTCTCACTTAGGTGGGACATAGGTCCAAATCAGTTGATTGGAGGGCGGGCTTTCACCATATATAGAGAGTCGATCTCCAAGATAATCCTTTTGATGCCTTGGTTTGACGCCGCTTGCAGAGCTGCTACACACATGTTACTGGAATCTACTAGATAACTGGGTTGGAAACAGAATTATAGGTTCTCGAGTCGCCGGCGATGGCCGCACTCACCACCGACACCCTCAGGCTCGGTTTCAATCTGATTCCAATTCGAGTTCTCCTTCTCTCTCTCGCTGTTACAAAGGAGCCAGCTTAGAAGCTTGGGCCTCGTCAACCCGTTACATGGGCTTATATCCAATTAGGCCCAACTACCTTTGGATTGGCCTTTCTGGCCCGACTTCCCCGCCTTGGGCTTCTTGGCGCTCCTGCCTCTTTTCTAGGTTCAGAGCCCGCCAAGTCTCCTCCAGCTGACTCAGCCGACGCCGACGCTCCCGCCTCTTTTTCAGGTTCAGAGCCCGTCGGGTCTTCAGTTGGTTCAGCCGACGCTCCTGCCTCTTTTTCATGTTCAGAGCCTGTCGACTTGTCGCCAGCATCAGCCATCTTGTGTACGTCGGTGACATGCCCCCCTCCACGAGACACGGCTTGTCCCCAAGCCGGTGCCCTTAGAAAGTCTTGGCGTAGGGCGTCTTCGTCTTCCCAAGTGGCGAGCTCATCCGGTAGATGAGACCACCGAACAAGGACTTGCGGTATAGTCTTGTGATGGTGCTGACGAAACCTGCAATCCAAAATTACCAACGGCACCTGAAACAAAATCGAAGGGTCGGGTAATTTGGTGCTTACCAGGTGATTCGTAACCACCGCCTTCTTCAATTGAGAGACGTGGAAAACCAGATGAATACTACAGTCATCTAGGAGTTGAAGTTTGTAAGCTACTTCTCCAATCTTTTCAGTGATGATAAATGGGCCGAAAAACCTGAATGATAGTTTGTTTGAAGATCTGTTAGCCAATGAAGTTTGCACATAAGGTTGGATCTTCACATAAACAGCATCACCAATCTGGAAGCTACGAAATGAATGCTTTTTGTCAGCTTGTATCTTCATCTTGCGCTGAGCCCTCAAGAGATGTTGATGAATCAACTACTGCATTAAGTCCCTCTCTTGAAGCCATGTATTCAGGTCAGAATGTTGAGCTAAAGTGGGAGTTTCAATTCCTAGGTGCCGGGGTTCATGGCCATAGAGTACAAAGAAAGGAGTGTTACCCAGTGAAGTGTGGTAAGAGGTATTGTACCAATATTCAGCTAGTGACAGCCAAGAGGACCATTTTGTAGGACAGGCATGCACAAAACACCTCAGATAGGTCTCCAAACACTGATTGACCCTTTCGGTCTGGCCATCACTCTGAGGGTGATAGGCGCTGCTCATGTGTAAATCGGTTCCCAGTAGGTTGAACAACTCCCTCCAAAGGTGACTAGTGAAAATCTTGTCCCTGTCTAGAACTATAGCTTGTGGGAGGCCATAAAGCTTAAAGATGTTGTTCATAAATAGCACGACAACTTGTAAGGCTGAAAATGGGTGGGAAAGAGGGAGGAAGTGGGCATACTTGGAAAATTTGTCCACCACCACAAGGATACAATTATAGGATTGAGAGCGAGGGAGACCATCTATGAAATCCATGGTGATAGTTTTCCAAGAACCTTCTGCAATTGGTAGAGGAGCAAGAAGTCCAGGGTAAGCCACTCTCTCTGTTTTGGCTTGTTGGCAGGTGGTACATTGAGCCACATAATCTTTGATAGCTTGTTTTAGTTGTGGCCAAACAAATAACTTCTTTACTCTGTGATATGTAGCCTCATAGCCTAAATGTCCACCGACTGCACTAGCATGGAGAGCAAACAATACTTGTTGCTGAATATATGTTGCATTTCCCAGCCAAACTTTTGATTTGCAGTATATAATTCCCTAAGACAAAGTATACTGGCCTGAGAGCCTAAATGTCCACCGACTGCACTAGCATGGAGAGCAAACAATACTTGTTGCTGAATATCTGTTGCATTTCCCAGCCAAACTTTTGATTTGCAGTATATAATTCCCAAAGACAAAGTATACTGGCCTGAGGTGGGGTTAACTGAGAGCTCTTGCAGGAATTTGGATGAAACAAGATCTGCCAAATATGTTGTTTGCAACTGTTGTAACCAGGGAGAAGTAAGGACTAAAATAGCTTGAAACTCAACAGTGTCAGCATGATTAGTCCTAGAGAGTGCATCAGCAACTCTATTTTCTGCGCCTTGTTTATAGACAATTTTGTAATTGAGGCCAAGCAACTTAGTCAGAGCCTTGTGTTGAATTGGTTTGACAGTCTTTGGTCATCAAGATGAACCGAGCTCTTCTGATCTGTCCTTATAGTGAATTCTGAGTGCTGCAAATAGGATCTCTAATGATCTATTGCCAAGAGTATAGCAAAGCATTCCTTCTCATATGTTGAAAGACCTTGAGCTCTTGGACCTAATACCCTGCTAAAAATGCTATTGGGTGCCCTTCTTGCTGTAGAACAACCCCTATCCCCTTTTCAGATGCATCGGTTTTCAAGGTAAATGGCTTTGAGAAATCTGGTAGAGCCAGCACTGGAGAAAAAATAAGTGCTTGTTTCAATGCTTGGAAGGATTCTTCGGTCTCTGTTGTCCAGATGAACAATTCCCCCTTTTTCAGCATGTTTGTTAGAGGCTTACTTATGAGCCCAAAACTCTTGACAAATTTCCTGTAATACCCAGCCATCCCCAAAAAGCTGCGTAGCTCCTTCACATTTTGAGGTACAGTCCAATCTGCTATAATATGTATCTTTGTAACAGAACCGACCAATTATATAAAATTAAGTAAGAAAATCATCCGCCAGAGCAGACGATTTAGCAAACTTAAGCCCGTATAACCCGGTAGTCCGTGAAATCACGAAGGATTTCAAACCAACTTCCATTCCAGCCAAGATCGTAATAAGTTTAGCGGTCACCGTCACATATTACATAAAAGTTCGCAATCTCAGATACATCAGAGTTTCAACATATTTATTACAAAACAAGTTCGAATAAAAGTAGCGGAAGCCATTTGTTCAAACCACACACACTCACGCGGAGTTCAAATATAGTGCCAGCGAATGATCATCTCCAACAAAAGCATCAGACGAGACGTAAGGAATGACCATGCCCATGGTCCTAAGCATCACCCATCGCAGGATAAAGGCAGTTGATACAGTAGCCGTAATACATCTACCCATCTGCAACAAGTGGGAATAAAACCCTGAGTACGAGAAGGTACTCAGCTAGACTTACCCGACATAACCGAAAATAAATGACACCAAGGATTATGAAGGGCTTTATAGTAGGGTAGCTGACTCATTTGCAAAAGAAGCATTTTTAGCACTTCAAGAACCTTCCTAAAAGCATTATTGTCAAATTAATTATTATTAACCTGTCGACTAGATTTGCACCTATACTAGAGCAAACATGATTAAGCAGATCATGATAACCAATGATCATTAAACAACTTCCATAATGTCATATTCATTATAACTGTCCAAGTGTTCCATAAACATTTACTACGATGAAGTAACTCAAGTCAAGTGCTCACTATCCAGGAGCGATGGCGATTCGAATCGATTCCTAACTAGCTGGTGATTTATTCCTTACACAAACCTCACTCACCCGCTAAAGTGAGATATTGATCACCGAGTCAACTATCTAGGTATCTCGAGTTTGCCAGGAACCACATGTACCTAGGGCCGACCGATCGCACTTTGGTCTTATCATCCCGCCCGTGTCCTACCACACCTTTCCAAGACAAGGCGTCAAGGGGCAATCTACTCGGCCCAAATAATCTCCCAACTTCAGCGGTCGGAAGGTACTTTATCCGCCCCGACTAAATGTAAGGCATGCGTTCAACATGACTCGAGGCCCAACAACGGTCGGTCCTTAATCGACATGACGCATTTAAAACACTACAGGTCCAAAACTCCGCAAGTCTCCGTCCGGTTTTCAACTTCATTTAACACTTAGTTATACCATGACTTCATAGCCATCCAAGCAGATCCGGTAACCACCTATAGCTCGCGGTGGCAGAAATCACCGTCTTCTACCGACTAAGCCACCTAAGCATTGACTCGATCAGGATACCCGGGTAACAAGGATATAGTATAACAAAGATAGACAAGGTATAATGCAAAGAACGGTTGCAAACAACTCCTGAACGTAATGCATCAATTAAAGTAAAACATTTAATTAAATAATTGCAAACCGGAAGAAAAATGCTCGGGCTTGCCTCT